GCGAGGGAACTTATCTCTAGGCTGGCAGTTGACTAGTCAGGAAACCCAGGAGTTGCAAACTTGTTTAAAGCAAATCATTAGAAACATCAAATTCAAAGTACCACAATGTAGCGCTATTGTGGACCTGACTCCTCCATGTAAGATTCTTCCGGCATCTTGTGATAAAGAAGAAAATGAGCAAGTAGGGAAGAAGTGTAAAAACATGCTCTGTGTGGAAAGTTCCAGCCCAACGTTTTCTAAAGAACCAATGAAAGCTGACGCGTATCAACTGCAAGAGAGTATCTTGAGCAAAGCAAGTAGCGCTGTGGAAGAGGATAATGAGCCAAATTACATTAAAGATTTGAAACTAGAGGACCATCTCTCAGCTGAGTCATGCTTAAAGCAGAGTAGTAAAAACCTTTTCGCTGGAAGAGCTCAAGATCAAGTTAAAATGCGTACGGGGAAGCAAAAGTCTGTCAAAGACAGTTCTTTATACACATCAAAGAACTGTACTGCAAGGAATGGTCCAGAAAGAGGATGTGGCAGAGGAATAATACTGTCAACACATTCGCCAACTGATTCTAGCGCTGATACTCAGGAGAAGATGTCCACATCAAATGGGGATTTCTCTTCGAAGGATGGTGTTCTTGGCAAAACTTCAAAAGCAAAATCTAAGGCCCAGAAAGATGAAATCTGTGCTAAGTTATCGTGTGTAATAAAGAAGCCACACAGGAAAAACACCTCGGTCAATAGTTCTGTGAAGTTCGAAGGAAACCTGGCCGCATCTAACGTTGAGAATTTCTGTTCAAAGAAAGACGCAGGAGGTCAGAAAGGGGATAGCTTCATGCACAGTCTCTCTTCAGGCTCCGACAGTATTCTGGATAATAAAAATGGAGAACAAAAAGCTCATAACAGTTTATTGCTGAAAAAGAAACAGGTGAAGAGTGAAGAGTTAGATGTTTCTTCTCATGAAAATGATTGTCAAATACAGGAATGTGATGTCGGCAATAAAGATTTGGTCCTACTTACAGAAACGACCAACACTTTCATGCATAAAACATCTCCATTTAAAAGTCCTGGGACTGTACTTGAATCAAGAGAGAAGAGAGTCAGCAAGAATACTGACTTTAGAGAACAGGCCCCTAGCATCAGCCCTAAGTCTGACACCTTAACAGATTCTCAGGTAGACAGAGACCTCCACAAATTATCTCTAATAGCTCAAGCCAGTGTCATTAAATTTCCATCAGATTCAAATCAAAGAAGCTCATCCCAGCTACAAAGAAAAGTGAAAGACAAAAGAAGTTTCACAGCCAACCAAAGTAATGTCGGGGACACCTGCCGTGGTCAAATTATTATTATTTCAGATTCCGATGATGATGATGAAGATGCTGATGAAAGAATTCTGGAGTTTGAGAAATTAAAACACATTAAACAAGATAAAGTAAGCATTAAGAAAGAAGGCCCAGGGCCGCGTACATCAGAAGCTCATACGAACACAGAAAGGAAGCCGATCAAAGAAGAGAAGCCAGCTTCCCCTTTAGAGTTTGAGGAGTGCGACTCGCAGGTGTTCGAGTTTGAAAGCCAACATGAAGTGTTTTCAGTCTGGCAAGATCAGAAAACGGACGACAGTTCAGTTGCAGAGGACGGAAAGAGCGCCTACTTGACTCACATTGTCGATATCACAAATGATTGGGGCTACGAGACAGATTATCCAGTTTCTGAAGAAGTTGCCGAAGTCACCAAGGACATCGAAAATGCGGAGCCACGGAGCAGTCGTGTTTCCGTTGAGAAATTTTGTGAAATTGAAGTAAGAAAATCTAAGAGAAAACAATTTGGAAAGCCTGTGGCCGAAGATCCTTTAAGGCCTTCGTCTTCTGCCAGAAATGAGGACCAGTCTGACATCCTCAACGAGAGAGAGCTGACTGAAAACGATCTTAAAATTGCAGACGTGCGGACGACGACCCCCGATGCGCGTGTCCAGCGGGCCACCGCGGCCGCCCTGAAGAAGTCCCCGCCCAAGCTGCGCGCCTACTCCAAACCCATCCGGAGGGTCCCCGTGTCCAAAGCCGCAAAGAAGACACATTCGGATGCCAGAAAGGGGCAGAGTAAAAGTTCAAATTACATAAGCTGTAGGACAACTCCTGCCATCGTGCCACCAAAGAAATTTCGCCAGTGTCCTGAACCCACCTCCACGGTTGAGAAGCTGGGTCTGAAAAAGGCTCCCCGCAGGGCGTTTGAGCTGTCTCAGCGGTCTTTGGAGTACATAGTTCAGCTGCGTGACCATGGCAAAACCGTTGGCGTCGTCGACACCCGAAAAAAGACTAAATTGATTTCTCCTCAGACTCTTCCTGTCAAAAATAAGAAACTGCTTGCAAATCAAGATCTTCAGTTGCGAAGGCAGGTGAGACCCAAATCACAGCAAAACAGACAAGGAGTTTTTGACTGTGAAAGCACAGATGCCGCGAGAGCGGGCCCAGATGCGGCACAGATTCCTGACGTGTTCGTAGCAGAATCAGCTAGGTCAGATTGTAGTAACAAAGCGGGAGCTGAGGTCATCGCCAGCAGTAATGGAAGACAGTCAGTGACATGCGTGTCTTCCGAACAAGAGCCCGTGAAAGCGAAATTCATTTCCCAGGAGACCGAGGATCCTTGTCCCTTAAACCAGCGTGAGTGTGTCATGGCAAATGGAGGGATCCTGACGCATGAAAGAGTTCTCTCTACTTCAGAGGACCCTGTAGGTGGAGGTGACCTAACGACACCTCATTTAGACGTGGCAACTTTGAACAAGGGAGAGCCCGCATCCAACAGTGACATGGAGGAAGATAATATATTTTTAACCCAGTGCGATCCTGAAGATATGGATTTATGTTCTCAGATGCAGCAGAATGATAATGACAAACTCATTGAAGTAGTTCATGGAAAAGATACAGTCCAGATAGGAGAAGATTCACTCAGTCGGCCTCCCTTGGAGTCTTTGAGCAGCACAAAATGTAAGTACAGAGATTGTGCCGAAACTCTGAAAAACCAGGGCGAGTACTGCTCGAAACACTGCGAAGCCAAAGCAGCGGATGAAGACGTGTTTCGGAAGCCCGGCCTGCCCCTTTCCGCGGCTAAACCCCTGAGACCGTCCACGACGAAGATTTTTAGCTCGAGTAGTACCTCACGAATTGCTCATCTTTCCCGCTCTTTGGAAAAAGCCTCCGCGCTCCTCCCAGGTTTAAAAAATAAGTCAAACGGGGCACAGTCCGTTTTGAAAGCGCCACCGCCAGCCCCTCTGGCGCCTCCTCAGAAGCCAGTGGTTGAAGTGAAGAGTTTGTGCAACATTCTTAATTCTCCACCTTCGAATAATTCCAGCAGGCAAGGTTACAGACTTCTGTTCAGTGAAAGCAGACCTTTTTCTTCTTCTCCGGTAAACATGCTCTTGTCATCACAGTCCATCTCCGATGCCTTCGTGAAAGAGATCCTCAAATGGAAGTATGAAATGTTTTTGAACTTCGATCAGTGCGGGCCCCCAGCAAGTCTCTGTCAGTCCATCTCAAGACCTGTGCCTGTCAGGTTTCAAGACTGTGGAGATTATTTTGATGTGTTTTTCCCTTTGATGATATTGAATACCTTTGAAACAGTAAGTATGTGTTTTAGTTGCATACCCATCCAGACTTTGAAGCCCCGTCTTCCCCATGCCGCGCGTTAGAGCCCAATTACAGTAATGGGCCTCACTGGGCTTCAGACCCGGCTTTTAGACTTCATGGGGAACAGACATTCGTGCCACACCCTGCCCTAGGTGCTGGTGACACAGAGGAAACAAGTTCTTAACCACTACCCTTCCGGAGCTTAGAGATGCCATTCAGGGTGTTAATGTACCTAGGCCAGGGGTGACTTAGGAGGAAGTGGTTTTCACTGCGAAGGGAAGACTTCTCAGCAGGTGGTCTCCTGTCTGCAGGATTTTGTTTTTTTGAAAAGTAACATAGTACTTAAGTTTTCTTGAGGTGGCAAAGGGTCACTTATATTGAACAACACAAAGCAATAACCCCCGAATTTCTCTTAACAGGTCTTTCTTCCCAATGCTTTCTCCCCTCAGCCGCCTCCCCTCCCCGCACGCCCTCTTCTGCTTCTCTCTCCCTTACTCCCCCCCCGACTGGGACTGCCCGATTTGAAATAAAGCGTTCTAGTTTAAGTTTGGACCTCAGGGAGACAGCTGATAATTCTGTAGCGTAAGCACCCAACAGGCATTTTGAAGGATGCTTTTGGTGTTCTCAAAGTAGGTGAGGGATTGGATGTAGATTATTACTCTTTCAAATTTTTTAAACCCGAAACCTGAGTATGCAGTAAGACCGTTAAAATCAGTAACAGCCAGGTGAACATTCATAGTCCTAGTGCAGAAGCCGTGTAACATCAGCTTTTGCAGATAACAGGTGTCATCCTTGATGATGGCCGATTATGGTGGTCAACTGTATTTTTAAGAACTTAACGACTAAACTGTTACATTAAGATAAACGACTTGAGCCTAAAAGGTAATTTTTTAGTTTTTTTTTTAATTGGAAAAATTAAAATGACTTATTCACACAGGTAGTCAGTCCCTTTTCTAAAATTGCGATTGTCCCCATTTCTCAGATCCTCACGGGTACTTCTGAATTTGAGTTTTTGGGAAAGGACTGGAAGATGAGTGTAGAGAATTGTAGAAGCTGGCAGGAAAACGGAGCATGTTGGTGAGAATTGGGGTCATTTGGACTTGTGAGATGCTGTGACTGGGAAGTGACATTCTCAGTGTTTCATGCGGTACGGGAGATGCTTTGCAGCTGCAATGTGTAAGTGACCTCAGGTGGCTATCGTGAGCAGTGGACATGTGGCTAGAGAGACAGGAACAGGATTGATTTTCTAGCTACCGATTTCTAGTAATTTCTATAATTCCATTATAGTCTGAAAGCAGACATTGTAGGATTGCTCTCCTTTTAAATTTGTTAGAATGTTTTTCTGCCCCAGAATGTGATCTGTTTTGGTGACTGTTCCATGTGAGGTTTAGAAGAATGTGTAATCTGCTGTTAGATGAAGTCGTCTGATGGTGCTTTTGAGTTCAACAATGTTTGTACTGATTTTCTGGCTGCCGGATCTGTCCATTTCTGATAAGATAGTGTTAAAGTCTCCACCTAAAATATTAGATTAATGTATTTTTCTTGCAGGTCCATCAGTTTTTGCCTCACTTATCTTGGTGCTCCGTTGTTGGACACATACATGCGAAGGCTTATTATGTCTTGGAGCATTGAGCCATCATTACGGGATGCCCTTCATCCCTGATCACTTTCCTTGCCCTGAGGTCTGCTCTGTCAGAAATTAATATAGCTACCCCCACTTTCTTTATTTTTTTCCCCAATTGCTTCTGTTGTTACATGTTTGAAATGTAGACAATGAGAAATTTTTTAAAAATCCTATCTGGCCAGTTGCTAGCTATATTGCCTTGGGCATGTTATTTGAATTTTTTAATTTCTTCAACTGGAAATGGCATCTACTGGCAGGGTGTAATGGTGTTAAATGTATGTAAATTGCCTTGTGCGATAATACTACTGCTTTGTTTTGGTTAATATTAGCATGCTTTTTCTTTACCCCTTTACTTTAATCTGAGTTTCTTTTTAGGCACCGTATAATTGGGTCTTGTTTTTTGATCCCTTCTGACAATCTTTTATTTGGAATATTTAAACCATTGACGTTTAAGGTGATTACTGAATACAGGTGGATCGCTTTCTCCTGCATTTGTTACCACTTTCTATTTGTTGCACTTTTTCTTTTTTCCTGTCTTTGTTTTCCATGCTTTTTCTGCCTTCGTGGTTTTCATTGAGCATTTTATATAATTCCATTTTCTCTCTTTCCTTAGCATATCAATTATTTTTTTAACTTTTTTTAGTAGTTTCCCTAGAGTTTGCAATATATATTTACAACTAATCCAAATCTGGTTTCATGGGTAATGTGAGTGCCTTACATAATAACAAAATATTCTTAATTTGTCCCTCCCGTCCCTTGTATCATTGCTGTCATTTATTTCGCTCGTGCATGAGCATAACAAACATGTATATAGACGTACATAGTTGAATACACCGTTGCTGTTTTGAATAAATTTGTCTGTTAGATCAGTTAAGAATAACAAGTTTTTATTTACTTTCACTTATTCTCCAATGCTCTTAATTTGTTTATCTAAACCCAAGTTTCTGACCTATATAATTTTCTTTCTGAAGACCTTCTTTTAACATTTCTTGTAAGATAAATCTAATGGAGGCAAATAACCTCAAGTTTTGTTTGAGAGAGAGATTCTTCACTTTCGAAGGATAATTTTGCAAAGTTCAGAATTCTAGGCTGGTGGTTGTTTTCTCTCAGCAGTTTAAATATTTCACTCCACTCGCTTCTTGTTTGCATGTTGCTGAGAAGTCAGATGTAACTCTTACCTTCTGTCCTCTGTAGGTAAGGTTTTTTTTTTTTCCTACTGGCTTCTTTCAAGATTTTTCTTTGTCTTTGATATTTTACGTTCCTGACATTTGAATATGATGTGCCTAGGTGTTTTGTGTTTTTTTTGGTTTTTTTTTGCATTTATTCTACTTGGTGTTCTCTGAACTTCCTGGATCTATGATTTGGTGTCTGACATAATTAATTTTGGGAAACTCGGTCATTATTGCTTCTGTTCCTTCCTTCTGGCGTTCCCATTACCTGTGTGCTGCACCTTGTGCGGTTGTCCCCAGTTCTTGGATAGTCTGGTTTTTTTTCCTAGTTGTTTTTTTTTTTCCCTCTCTGCTTTTTAGCTTTGGCAGTTTCTATTGCTATAGCCCCAAGCTCAGAGATTTCTTTCCTCGCCATGTCCAGTCTACTAATGAGCCCATCAAAGGCTTTCTTATTTTAGCTTTTCTTTTTGATCTCTAGCACCTTTGATTCTTTCTTAGAATTTACGTCTCTCTGCTTACATTATTCATCTATTCTTGCATGGTCTACTTTTTTCAGTAAACGGTTAGCATATTACTTACAGTTTTTTAAATTACTGGTCTTATAAATCTAACATCCCTGCCATCACTGATTCTGGTTCTAGTGCTTGTTCAGTCTCTTCAGACTGTGATTTTTGCCCTTGAGTATGCCTTGTAATTTTCACTAAAAGGTGGACATGACATACTGGTTAAAAGGAACAGCAGTAAATAGACCTTTAGTGATGTAGTGAGTGTGTGTGTGGGCGTGGGGGGACAAGTGTTCTGTAGTCCTCTGATGAGGTCTTGATGTTTTAATGAGCCTGTACCCCTGGACTGAGCTTTACACACGTTTGTTAGTTCCCCCACCTCCTTAGGTGGGACAAGATGGCCAGAATGGGCAGGAGTTGGTTGTTTCTTTTCCTCCAAGTATTAATATACTTGGCTCTGATAGAAACCCCAGCAGGTTAGGCTCTGGTGTTTCCCCTTAGAGCAAGCCTTGTCAAGGTCTGAATGCTGTGGTGTATTTCACAGTGGTGCCTTTCCCCCTCCCCCTACTGGAAGTAAAGAGATTTCTCTCCAGTATTCCCTGAGGACCTACCTGGTTGAGCTCCTAGAGGTAAAACTCACCAACGTGTGGGGTCCCCTAATGACTGGGTCCCCTAGAATTTTTAACAGAATTGTCCATACTGAGTGTCCAGCAACTTGTCAATTACAAGTTCAGATTTTCCTATCCTGACACACAGGTTTCTGTAGTTCGCCCTGTGGCCTCAGTTCTCTGGTTGACTCTAAGAAAAGTTGATTATTCAGCTCGTTCAGCTTTTACTTGTTAGGATGGAGCGGCGACTTCTAAGTTCCTTACACACCGAGCTGGAAACTGAAAGTCCCAAATTAATTTTTAATATTTCTGTCACCTGGGATTCTAGGTTCTGAATTTGACTATTTTGGAAAATTTTGCTGTTTAGTATTGGCTTTCTGAATGTTTTTACTTTCTTAATTTGCTCTTTTTTGCTTTGCATAGGTAGCACAGGAATGGATCAGCTCTCCAAATAAAGAAAAATTCTATCAGCTGCATTTACGAAAATTTCCTGCAGATTATAAAAAATACTGGGAGCTCGTGGGTAAGTTCGTTCTTGCGTGACTCGGAGTATATATACTAATTGGAGATTTCTCTTCGCAGAAACAGTATCATTGTTTGACTTTTCTGAGTCGTAGGTGTCCTACGCTGAATTTGTGACCTCTTAACAAAGAATATTTTAAAGTCTTAATTAATGAGGATAATTACTGGGACAGTTATGAATATAAAGTGTATGGTTTTAACCATTCTGTAATTACAATACCACAGGCCAGAGTGTCCATGGAAACTGGGCATGGGCGAGAGGGTGGGGGAAAGGTGCTTGGCCATGGAGCGGTGGGTGGGGCAGCGGGGGGGAGGCAATGTTTTAATAATAGTGTTTATAGATTCTGAGTAAGTCTTCCTGCCATCTCTCTTCTCATTTCATTGTTTATAGTTTTTTACTGTCATAAACATTCGGAATAAATTACACATTCAGTTGTAAATAAAACTACACATTCAGAACTCTTTAAAATAAGATGCATAAGCTCACCCCCTTCTACGCACACCTGATACATATGTGTGTTTATTTTGGGGAAAGGTGCTATGTGTTCATTGTAGAACATTCAGATAATATTAGCAGTAAAATAACCATCACCCACAATTCCCATAATTTAGAGATAACCCTATGAATATACTAGTGTATACTTTACTGCCAGACTTTGTACTAACCCATGTGAAGTGTGTGTGTGTGTGGTGGGGGGTGGATTCTACCTATTTTGTGTCTGTTCATTTAATCAGCAGATATTTATTGGCTTCATATATGCTATCTGGTAGTATACGATTCTCGATGCTGGGTATGTAGCTGTGAAGAAAATGAAATTCCTGCCATCATGAAGTTTAAATTTGACTTATTTTTATGTAGAACATTATAGATGTCTTTTCAGAGTTATTAAATAATAACAGTATGTTTAATATTTTTGAGTTATTTCTTTGCAACTATATACCATGATTGCATTAACCATGTCCGGTTAGACGTCTACACTGTTTATCATTTTTTACTATTATAAACACTCTGAATAAATCTTTTTGCCAGATCAAACAGTATGCGTATTTTGAGACTTTTGATTCACATTGCCTCTGCCTACCAAAAGGAATATTATTTTCACTAATACAGGATGTGAGAATGTACATCTCATTTGCTATTCCCCCCCCCTCCCAGTTTTAATATATGAAAATGTATCTTATTTGAGGTGTGGTTTTTGTCCCCAGATTTTTGCTGGTCATTTGTATTATTGGGGGTGGGGAGCAGGGATAATTGTTCAGGCCCTCTGTCTTTTTTTTCTATTAGGTTTTTTTCTTAATTTGTATTCGTTGTAAATATTTTTTTTTCAGTTTCATTATTTGCCGTTCAATGTCACATGCAGTTTTTGGGACATAGACAATTTTATCTTCACATATTCAGAACTATTTATGTTTCTGTCTTTGGTCTTAGAAGTCAGGTAAATACTTTTATATATTCTCTTGTACTGGCTTTATATTTCTTTTTAATGTTTAAATCACTAATTTGGCATTTATCTTTTTTTTTAATGCCTACAGCACTTGGTATTCCTAGGTGGTCTCCCATCCAAGTACTAACCAAGCTCGACCCTTATTAGCTTCCAAGATCAGAGGTGATCGGGCACGTTCAGGGCGGCATGGCCATAGACTGGCATTTATCTTGATTGCATGATAGAATCGCATAGTGTTTCCTCTTGCGTCTGGCTTCTGTTATTTAACATGTCTGTACAGTTCATCAGTTTTGTGTGCATGTTATTTTTTTCCTTGCTATGGTGTTATGTCATTCTGTGACTGTGTCGCGATTTTATTGCTGATAGACATTTTTTCAGCAGTTTTGACTTGTGTGTTGGGTCCCCAAGACCATCCCTGGGTTCAGTAATTTGCCAGGAGGACCCGCTGTGTTAACTCTCTTACACATGGCATTTATGAATCATGCTATTGTGGTCAGTCACGTGTCTCTTAGTGTTTTTGTCAGAGTCTGTAACCAGAAGCAGATTGCTGACTCTCACAGCATGCCTAAGTTCAACTCAGATAGATAACACCAAGCCCGTTGTATGCAATTACACCCCACCAGCCGAGTATGAGTTCTGTGTCTTCAACACCTTTCTATCGATTGTTGTGTTAATTTTAGCCATTATGTTGTATGTGTACTGATGGCCTTTGGTGGTTTTATTTTATAATAGCCTTTGTAATAATCAGTGAGGTCGAGCACCTTTTCATATATTTAGTACGTGCTTCAATTATCTCTTTCGAGAAGTGCGTATTCAAGGCTCTTGTTCATTTTCTGTTGTCTTTTTCTTACTGATTTGTAGGAGTTCTTTATGTGATCTGGATACAAGCCATTCTCTCCCTGTGGCTTGCATTTTGAATCTCTTAGTGATGTCCTAAAATCTGTGTATTATTCTTAAGAATTTTTTATTTTTACATGACAAATGCGCCCCCCTACACATACACACTTCCCGTGGTTAGTGATCTGTACCTCATTTAAGAAACCTTTTCCTGCCACAGGGCATAAATATATTATCTTAACATCTAGAAGAGGTATCAGCAAACTGGTTTGCAGATCTACCCCATATCCTGTTTTTGTACTGCCTTAAAATAAGGTTTTTACATTTTAAAGGGCTTTGAAAAAAAAAGATGGTTCTGAATATGCCAGGGCCTTTTCTAGAGGATATATCGTTTCATCAGCCTGGAATTGATTTTTGTGCATGAGTGAGAAGTGTATGGGTCATGTTTAATTTTTACTCCCCAAATGGAGGTGGAATTACCCCAGTCCTGTTTATTGAAAGACCATCATTTCTCCGTGCTCTTCCTCACCATAAACACCGTGCCCATTCAGGGCATGGGGCTTTCTCTGGACTCGGTTCTTTATTGGATCACTTGCCTGCCCTTGCGTTGTATCGCGTTGCCTCGTTACCTAGTGTAGCTTTATGATAAGTTTAAATATCCAGTGAACACCAGGGCCCCCACCTTTGGTTTGCCTTAAGAACACCTTGGTTATTAGTGTCCTTTTGCGTTCCCATATAAATTTTAAAGAAAAAAAAATGAAAACTTCTTGAAAATTGACATCTTTCTAATATTGATTTTCTAATGCGTGAGGTATGTATCTTGGGTTATTATTTAGGTTTACTTTCAGTAATGTTTTATAGTTTTCTGTTTTTACAGATTATCTTTGGTTTGGTTTTTTTTGTCCTGCAATATGCAGTTTCATTTCCTTGAATATCTGTAAATGGTTCAAACTTAAAACTTCATAAAAAACATTTTATTGCTAAAATATTAGCGATTCATTAATATCAGATAACTTAGTCATTGTTCAAATTTCCAGTTTCTTCATAAATATTTTTTCTGCCTGTTTGAATTAAGATCAAAATTAGGTTCACTCATTTACATTGGTTGATTTGTCCTTTTTAACTATAATTCTCTCGTTAGTTTTTTTTCCCCTTTATGATTTATTCTTGGAAGGAATTGGGTGGTTGACCCTGTAGTTACTCACTGTGGGTTTTGCTGACCGCGTCCCCTGGTGGTGGTTAGTGTGTTCTTCTGTCCTCTGCATTTCCTGTAAATTGATAATTGGATCTAGAAGTTTGATCAGATTCAAGTTGGAGTTATTATTTTTGGTAAATCTCTTTCAAAGGTGGTGGTATTTTCCTTTATCGGGTTGTGCACGATGCCTAATTTCTCTTTTTATAATATTTACCACCGTTGATGCTTAATAAGCTGTTAATTTATTAAAGGATATGAAATAGTGGTTTTATCTGATTATTTCTTCATTAATTAGCTGTATATGTGCTTGCACTTGGTACAAGTTTTAGTCTCCTTTAATCTTATTTAAAATAATTCTGTTAGAGTAAATGCTGACATCTCATTGTTTTCTAGTTTATCTTGATGAAGGCGAACTAGCTAAACAGCTCCACCCAAAGGAGAACGATTTGGTGTTTTTGGTCCCTGGAACACTGAACGGAGAGGAGCACGGCCTGGAGCACAGCCTCCTGCAGGAGCCGCACGAGCCTTACTGTGGTTATGTGCACAAGTTTCGCCGCACTTCAGTCAGTAAGTAAATTTGGAGACGTTGACGAGAAGTCTGTTAGATAAAAGCTCATCTTCAGCGTCCCTCTGACTGGCATTCACCAGCCACACAGGTGCTGTAGAGTTGACTCTCGAACAGCACAGGTTTGAGCTGCGTGGGGCTGCGTACATGTGGGTTTTTTCAATAAATACTGTAAATGTATTTTCCTTATGCTATCTTTAATAACATTTTCTCTTTTCTAGATTAATTTATTGTAAGAATATAGCATCTAATACGTATAACAAAAGTGCGTGTTAATTGACTGTTTATGTTATTAGTAAGACTGCTGGTCCACGGTAGTCTACGAGTAGTTAAGTTTTTGGGAATCAGCAGTTAGATGCAGATTTTCGACTGTGCAGTTGTTCAGGGGTCAGCCGTACTTTTGTCAGACATGCATTTGCTAAGTTGATTACTTGCCATTCAGAGTCCCTTTTTAAAATTTTTCTAGACTCACCCAGAAAGGCCCAATATTTATTGCTCTAGACTTACAGTTTTAAAGCTTTCTGTTGTGACGTCCTCTGCTCCAGTATATTCCTTTGTCTGTTATTGGTGTGTATTGTAAAGCAGACAGTCTATAAGCCATCCGTTTGTTAGGTCTCAAATCACATTCCAACCTTAGCTTTGTGGCCCAATACGAATGTGAAGACTAAACATGGAATTCATTTCGAGGCCACTTGAAGGCGTCATCGTTTCCATCGTTCCCACCTATCGTGTCTTAGGGATTTCTCCCTCTAGGGTAGCATAACGAAAATGATGTTAGCCTGAATTTAACGAGCACCTGCGATGTGCCAGACAGTGTGCCTATCCTTCCTGTGCACATTTGTCATCCGCCCCAGAGCCCTACAAAGCAGCAAGAATTACTTGTTCCCTTCTCATCAGGAAGCCAGGGCTCAGGGATGTTCAGAGCACCGTGCCCAGGGCTGTCCCCATATTAAGGGGTAGGTCCTCTCGTTTGACAGCGAAGTCCGCCTCCTTTATCATATGCCAAGCCGTTTTTCTGACGTTGCCACTTTCTTAGTCTCAGTTTTGTGACAAGAGCAAGATGTCATTATTTCTTTGGCCTTTTGCATCATATTTTAAAAAGATAGTAACAAAGCTCCTTAGAGTTCATCCATCATTCTGCATTATAACTGGTGTGTCTCACTTGTTTTAAGTGTGATCAGAGCTCACTTCTTTGTGTAGAATGCACTTAGAAGAATAGTAACAAGGATATATAGCTTAATGTGTGCTTTGGACTCTTGCAAATGAAATCATTTGCAAAATTTATATTTCTAAGGTAGTCTTCTTCCCTGAGCTCCTCACGCATCTCACTGTTGACAGCTCCACTTGGAAATCTGTGAGACATTTCAAACGCGACCCATAAAGAAACACTTGGTTTTCCTGCCTGACACCTGCTCTCCCTTCACTTTCCCCGTCTCAGTATGTGGGGCCTCCATTCTTCCAGTTGTTCAGGCCAAAAACCTCAGAGTCATCGCGGTCCTTTCTTTCTCTCACACCCTACATCTAATTCATCAGTAGATCCTATCGACCCTTCCTTAGCGATCTATCCAAAATGCCAGCCCCACCTCTACTGCGTCCGGGCCCGTGCCGCTGTCAGCTCATACCTGGATTACTGCCGTAGCCACCTGAGTGGTCCTTTTGCTTCTGTGCTTTCCCATTGCCGTTTATCTTTCATTCTGCGATGAAAGTGATTCTTTTATTGTGTAAATGAGAGCATGTCACATCCCCGCACAGAGCTATCCTGCGGCTTTCCGCCTGACTCAGAACAGTGTTCCGAGTCATCACTGTGGTTTGCAGAGCCCTTTCAAACATAACCCTGTTTCACTCTCTGAATCTTCTGGCACACTTCTCCCAACTTTTTCGTCTAGCCATACGAGCTGCCTCCGTGTTGCTAAAACACTCCAGTCACATCTCCGCCTCGTGGTCTTTGCACGTGCCGATTCTCCGCCTGTAACTCTTTCTCCAGATAAGGGCAGGCTTTCCCACTTCTTTCAAGTCTGCTCTAGTATCGTCCGGTCAGGAAGACCTTCCCTAACTCTCCCGTCTGCAGCAAGAGCCCCCCACACCCCACACCCACCTCTCTTCATAGCACTTACTCTCCACCATGTGACATGGGCGTTTGGCCGTCTGCCTCCCTCTTCTGAAATATAAGCCTCTTTGGGACAAGAACATTGCCTGGGTCTTAGGAGGCATTCAGTAAATATTAATCAAATTATTTAACTAATATACTGTACAAAAACATAAGTTATAAAACGCCTAATTCCGAACAACCTTTTTAACTGGACCAAAACCGCTTTTTCTCTTTCTCCGTAACAGTGCGTAATGGGAAAGCTGAGTGTTGCCTTTCCATCCAGACTCAAGATAACGTGGCGGTCAACTTAAGTGAATTTGTGAAATGCACTGTAATCAGTTCTCTGGTAACTACACAAAGGAAGTTGAAAGCCATGTCTTTGTTGAGTGGTCGGAACCAACTGGCTAGAGCTATTCTGAATCCAAACCCCATGGACTTCTGTACAAAAGATTTACTGACGACAACATCTGAGAGAATTGTGAGTGATGATTACCTAACAGGGAAAGTAAGACCATCACGCGTTGGGACGTTAAAGCACCATGTCATTTATGTGTATCTGCTACAGATTCCCATCTGTCTGTAACAACATCTGTGTGTGTGCACTGGGATGCCGTGTAGCGCTTAGTTTTCTTTAATGTTGCAGAGTGGGTATTAGATTGGTCAGCTTTCCTCAGGAGGAAGGGATAGTATGGAACTGAGTATGCCTGAAGAGCAGCGGGCAGTGTGAGGTGAGCTTCCTACTGAAATGTTCGTTAGGCAGTTAAAACTCAGAAGTGGGAGAATTTGGTGGTATTGTCGCAAGTACGAAGATGAAGTTGTCATGTTGTGTGAACACACGTCTCCCTGTGGGAGTTGCATATAAGTACCAGGAAATTAATACAGAGAAAGGCAAAAGGAAAGAATGTTTTTGAACCCCGGCTGGGTGCTAGGGCTTTGTGTACATTATCTCAATCAATTCTTGCCCTTTAAGGAATCCCAGATTTAATGGATGACAAAGGCTGAGGCTGATAGAGGTTAAGGAGTTTGAGAGACCCAGCTTGTGATCGAAACTGAGGTTTAGACTCAGATCTGACCCAAAATTAATGCTCTTTCCACTGTATCACTCGTGTTAGGAAAGAGTCTTTTTTTTTTTTTTTTAACTAAGGTGAGAGTTGACTAGAATGGGAAGAACCGAAGAATAAATAGAAGGAAAGTATAGAACAGTTCATTGTCATCCTCTTTATAAGAATCACAAGTAAAAATACGGTTGTAGTGTTTGTAGATGGGCTGAAGCGACTGTCCGTGAGTAGCTTGCTTTCCAGGAGTGTGCGTGGTTTTTAGATTAAAGGCCACTGTGGGGTCTCGCCTGGTCATAACGGGAAGAATAGCCCATTCTCCACGATGTCTTTTATATAGACCCTCTACTTAAAAGATTTCAATGAAGACCAAAAGAAAGCCATAGAAACTGCATATGCCATGGTGAAACACTCCCCATCTGTCGCCAAGATCTGTCTGATTCATGGACCACCTGGAACAGGAAAATCAAAAACCATTGTCGGCCTGCTGTACCGCCTGCTGACGGAGGTAGAGTGTGTGAGGGCATCGGCTACTCACTGTGGGCCTCGTTTACATGGATTAACTGACACGTAAATAAGGACCGAGGTGCCTTTCCCTTCACCTCTGTGCATCTCTGTGATGCCGTGCAGAACTTGATCAGAGAAGCGGGTTGCAGAGCGAGAGAAGGGTACGAGAGGTCAGACGAGCAGGAAGTTAGCCCTGGGGCCCGGAGAGGTGGTCCTCCGGCTGTGTTACAGGCCACATCTAGGGCCAGGGCCCGTCCGGAATGACTTCTTGGGCTCATTATGGCTGAATTGAGTGCTGAGTGAAATCAGTGGGTAGCGAGGTGAGGCTCAAAGAAGTTGTGATGAGGTTTTGTGCCAGAACCATTTTAGTATCAACGTAAGACATAGACACTTAATTATTTTTAGCTCTTTATAAGGGGAACTTTCAAACACGACATGGAAGTAGAGGAAGGCTATAACACTTCACAGCAGAGCTCATCGGTATTTTTTATATTTGTTCGGGGTGTGTGTCTTCAACTGCAGAACCAGAGGAGGGGGCATCCCGATGAAAACTCCAACGCCAAGATCAAGCAGAACCGCGTCCTGGTGTGCGCGCCTTCCAACGCGGCCGTTGATGAGCTCATGAAGAAAATCATCCTCGAATTCAAAGAGAAATGTAAAGACAAGAAGAATCCTTTGGGTATGATACTTACGTGGGCTTTTAATTTATTTTTGTTTTGTTTTCAGTGTTCAGCGTGGGCAGCTTCAAACAGCAGAGAGCAGGGCCAGTTGTGATAACTTCTGCATGGGCCGTGGTCGTGTGTACCTAGAGGTTGTTTTAGCAGATGTTACCGAGTTTGGTCTGTCAGGCCTCCTGCTGGGGACTGAGGTTTCAACAGCAGAACCTTCCAAAGACGGTTGGATGCAGAAGCGGAGGTTTCAGTGGGCAGTTAGAGCGCAGAGCCGTACGATCTGCAGTAGGAGTGAGATGTGGGCGCCGTCAGAACCCTTAGCGCAGCCTTGATTCGGCCCTGTGGGGGTCAGGGAAGGCATTTAGAGGAACGACGCCTAAGACGAAACCCGAAGAGTAATCAGGAGGTAGCCATGGGAAGGTGAAGGTGGGAGAGGACTCCAGCAGAAGGGGCCAGAGGCAGGTTCAGTACACCTAGACTGTAACGAGCTCCACCGAGGCAAGGTGTTTGATTTCTTCGCTGTAGGGTCTCAGGGCCTAGCATGGCACCCGCTCTCAGCCGGGGCTTGGTGACTATGCCATGTCACCCTGTACACCACTGAGGGAGATGTTTGTGTCTGGGTTCGGTATACACTTTTTATCAAGTTAAAGAAGTTCCCTCTTCATTAGAGTTTGTATCATGAATGGTTGTTGAATTTTCTTGCATGCATTTTTGGTGTTTTTACATTCATAGAATTGATACTGAAGCTTTTCTTTAATCTGTTAATATGGTAAGTTACAGTGTTTTTCTAATGTTAAAATATCTTTGATTCCTAGAATAAAGCCAATTTGGTGATGTATTACTATTTTTTAACACATTGCTGGATTGTTAATGTTTTATTTAGGATTTTTTAAATTACTATTCATAAACGAGGCTAGTTTTTCATTTTTCTTTGTCATATTTTTGTCTAGTTTTAGTATTGAAGCTAACAAATTTTAAAAACGGAGTTGGGGGAAATTTTTCTGTTTATCCTTTGGAATGTTTTGTATAAGACACATTATTTCTTCCTTAAAGGTTAATTTGGTTGGTTGGTTAGTTTTTTTGTCTATTTTTGACAGACAGGTCAGTTTTTATCTACTGTATAAATGTCTTTAATCGTTACGAGTCTAATGAGATATTCTAGGTTTGAGTGAGTTTTGCTAATTCACTTTTCAAGAAAAACTTCACTTACATTTTCAAATATGTTGGCATAAAGTTGTTCATTGTCTTTTCATTTTTAAAATCTCAGCTGTCTTTCTGAGGGTCACCTTGGTCATTCCCTGTATTATACATTCAGTGTCTAAATTCACATGTGGCCCAGGCCCGCGATTGGTGAGTCTCAGGGGAAAATGCTTCCCGAGCTAAGCCCAGGCCAAGATGGAGCCACTTCTGCTCCTTTCTGCCACCCATTTCAGGCCCTTTTGCTTTCTGGTGGGCTTTAAAGCCTAGGCCCCCATCATGAAATGTCTTTATCTTGATTGCAGTGGTACTTTTGCCATTGTAGACATTGTAGACATTTATCTCGATTGCAATGGTATTTTTGCCATTATAGACAATGGTACTTCTGCCAACTGTAGAACTAAAGATTTTAAATTCTCTGCATTTCATTGAATGTAAATTTAAAAAACACCTCAGCACTGAGATAGTGACCAGCCCTGACCTCTCACCCTGTCCCTCGGGGAAGCCACAGCCTCTCAGGGCTTTAAACTCTGGTTTTCAGCTTTCTCTTCGTTGTTGGCACCTGGGAATTTCTCTTACGTTCTTATGAATTCACCCTGTAATTTAAAGAATGTCAGTTATAATTTTTGGAGTGTTTCTCGGTGTTTATAGTGGGCAAGGTTCCATGTAGTCTCATCTACCTTTTTGGTGGAAAGATAAGTAATGTAACAGTTTTGAAACCTCCAAGTAAATGTTGGCCAGAGAAGGTGGCTTCAAATTTCAAAGAAATTTGAGCTAAACTAGGAACAAAAATATGTTGTAGACAACTGTGTAAGTCATTCACTCCTTCATCCAACATGTGTTTGTGGTACTTATGTGCCACCACTGTTCTAGGCAGTGACCAAAAATCCCTGTTCTTATGGGTCTTAGATTCAGTGGAAGGAGATAGTGAACAGATAAGTATGTGATGTGTCAGATGGGATGAGTGTTGATAAACTCTGCGTGATTGCTGTAATTAGCCCAATAATGCAGTGGGGGATTTTTAGATGATGTAACATCTAGAATGTGGTAACCTAAAATAAAAACGTGGTTAATAAACAATCCAGTTAAATGATGCTTACAGTTTTTGGAATGATCTTCAGAATTTCTAGAGTAGCAATGTGATATAGAGCAGAGATTCAAAAACTTTGTTCTTAGTATTCTGCAGAAAAGGATTAATGGTCAAATAAGATTCTGTTTTAGAAATTCACATATGTATTAATATATGCAAGCCTTTATAAATCTTTGAAATATCCTGGGGTTAAGAAATCTTATTTTAATTCGCTATTTCCCAAATAGACTTTACCATGGGGTGTTGTACAAAACATAATTTGAGGAACCGGTTAATAAAATGTCCACTCTGCCACGTGCTGTTTAGACAGCACCCCCTGGCTTCTGTCAGGTGGGGTTGGTAAGTGCTCGCGTCGCACGGGTGTTAGGAAGAGTCTCTAAGGCAGTGTGTCTGACGCGGCCGGCGGTTCCAGGTCTCCTGCCGACCAGAACGTGCTGGGCCCCTGTCTGCTGTTCACGTGTTTGCTGAGGAGGAGGAATTGTGCAGAGACGTTGCAGTGTCCTTGATCTCTAAGCGTGAATCTTTTTTTATCAACAGGAAACTGTGGAGATATAAACTTAGTACGTCTGGGTCCAGAAAAGTCTATTAATAATGAAGTCCTGAAATTCAGCTTGGACAGCCAGGTTAACCACAGAATGAGTGAGTACTGACGGAGGTGCCTTCCTCACATTAGTTCCATTTGCTTTTTTTCGGGTAGTAGAAAATGGCTTGACACTAGAGGCAGTCTAGCTTCGCAAACTGGTTTTTCTTCTTGTTACGTGTGCGTGTGTGTTAGGGTGGGTGTGGTTGGGATGTGTTTATATTTTTTAGGTTTTTTTTTTTTTTTTTTTTTTTAGAAAAAGACTTACCTTCTTATGTCCAGGAGATGCACAAAAGAAAGGAATATCTGGATCATCAACTCGATGACCTTTCCCGCCAGCGTGCTTTATGCCGAGGTGGGAGGGAAATACAGGTATCTAAATATTTCTCGATTTATGTTTTTTATAAATCCTAGGTACACAAACTAATCGATGAGAATTTGATGCCATTTTTCCATTGTGGAATAGCATAATTTGTGTATAAAAATGTATACAGAAGCCATATGCCTTACATCAGGGGCTAACAAACTTTTCGAAAAGGACGAGATTCCGCAGGTCTCCATTTCAAGTACTCAGCTCTGCCGCTGCGGCGCAGAAGCAGCAGTAGACACGTGTAAGTGGGGTGCAGCTGTGCCAGCGAAGCTGTTGGTGAAAGCGGACGGGGAGATGACGTTGGCCCGCAGACTGTAGTTGGCTGCTGCCTGCCTTATGGTAAAGCTATGCTGAACGCATCCAGTGTCTTGGTTACATGTTAAACCCAGTTCAAGTGAAGTTAGAGAGAATTCACTGGCTCACACCCCTGGGGAGTCTAGGAATGGACTAACTTCAGGAAGGCTAGACCCAGAGCCTCAAATGATGTCTTTCTCCACCCTTGATTTGTTTTTCTGTGTGTCAGCCATTTCTTCTCCAGGAGAAGACGAGTGCCAGAATCTCTAGGCTCCACCATCCCAGCTTAGAAAACCCACAGGTGGAGAAGGTCTTTCCCATTGTTCAAGCATCAGTGCTAAGGAAAGACTCTGATTAGTCCCTATGTTTAAGGGGATCGATGCCATGCTCAACCAGGCCTGTTACATGCCTGTAACTGGCCAGAGGAATGGTTGGGGTGTGACTGGGAACCTCATTTGAACCACCTAGAAATTGGTGAAGGGTTGGAATGCTCAGCAAACAAATAGCATATGTTATATACACTGGGCATAACAATCTTACATAGTGCCAAGAATTTATCAAAATGACACTAAGTGGAGCACAGGGTGCTAGATGGTGGGGTACTGGGTGGTGAGCCGCTTTCAACAACGGACCCAACAAGAGACATTAAAATGGAGAAATGGATTACTCACAGGTCCTGGAGGAAGTCCGTGGCACGCCTCAAGGGACCACACGGGGAGGTCAGTGCAGGCAGAGAGAGGTAGGACCTGGGGTGCATGCCGTTATTAGAGTCTGTGGGGTTCCCGGGCTAGTGCCGGATTGGTCAACTAAAACCAGAAAACATCATGTGAGGGGCACGTGAGCGGAAGGCGCTAGGAGGCAGGGCAGACTGCTGATCACAAGGGCTCTGTGGGCTGCTGCCTGGAGCGTGCGCATGGGCAAAAGCACTAGTAAGTTTGAGGTCTCTGCAGGCCACGTGGCCAAAGTAGCTACAGAGGCAGCAGCACCAGGGAGTAGCTGAGCTAAACTCTGGACACAGTGATGCAGGAAGAATGGGGACTTCACTGCGAAGAACATGGTTTTCATTGGTAAAATAGAGACTCACCCTTCTGAACTGCAAAGCAGTCCAGTGGGAAAGCATTTTAAAATGCTTAGTTGAATTTTAATGATTGCATTCTAATTTTTTCCAGAGACAAGAACTAGACGAAAAAATTGCCAGAGTTTCAAAAGAAAGGCAGGAACTTGCTTCTAAAATTAAAGAGGTAAGTAGTAAGCCTATAGCATTGTTCTGGGGTTTTTTGTTTTTTTTTTTAATTTAATTATGAAATAGTTCAGACAACCCTGTGGGCTTTTATCAGTTACATTAAAATTTTTTTATCATGAAAAATTTCAAACAAATACAAAAGTGGAGAAAGTAGTGTAATTACATGTACATTTACATTTTTTTTTTTAATCACCACCTGAGATTTCTAAGATAAAATACCTTTTCCTTTTCTAGGTTTGAGTAAGTATTAACCCTCTTTAGGAACTCTTCCCTCTGAAAACTGCAAAATCAGCTATAATTGTTATCAGTTAAACAGTAAATAAAAATAGGTTTGTGGCTGTTTTCCCTATTAAAAAGAAAGTCACCTGCATTGGAATTCAAGTAGCGTGACAGTGGCAACTCTTTGTTGGACTTCTTTAAATAATACGGTATTTCAGTTGGGGATCAGGGAGAGATGGTAATATCAACTGATAATTATTAGTATTTTTGATGAGACCTTTCTTTTGAATGTATTATCAGCTTTCTCCATGTGGCTAAATAAAAATAGTTGACTTTGATGCATATTTCCATTAGCAGTTTGTTTATTTAAATTAAAAATTATATGGAAAGGTTTTCATTAAAATTTTAAACAGAGCCCAAAATTAATGTTCCCAAATTTAACATTGACAGGTCTTGTGGGTTTTGCTGCCGGTCAGGTTCTGTGGGTCATTGAATCTGTTGCACTTGGCAGCTTTACTCTCAGGTGGTTGAAAGGAGACGTATGTGACAGTACTTCAGACACGTGAGCACTGGAGGGCCACAGTTACTGCCCACTTCCTGAAGCTCGCATACCTCCCTGGTTGAATATACCACATGCAGAGATGAATCACTGCTGCTTTGCAGGATCAGAAACAAGCTTCCCGGCTCTCTGGAAAGAATACACTAGCTTATCAGCTTGAGCACTGAGGTGTCATTCACACTGCCTGGTTCTACCACAGTACACTTGTAGTTTTGATCCAACGTTGGGAATCACATGTGCAGAGGGCTGACTTAAGTTATACGAGGGTTTCCACCGGTGTGGGTAGTCGGCGCCTGGCTCCCCGAGTTGTCCCAGGGGTTCACTGTACATCTCATTATAGATGTGTAGACCGGGGTTTTTCTCCCTGTGGGAGTAGGATGCTCATCACTTTTACAGGCGATGTTGTTGGTACTAGTCTTTAAATAGGGAATAACACTAAATACTTGAAAACTAACAGGAAAACATTCAAGCTTAGTTCTGATCTTGATTTTACTCAAATAATTGCTTCGCAACTCAGTAGAATGATTTAATCTCTACTTATTCTGATGCCTGCTGACATACACTTGGCTGTAAGAATTGTAATCTACTTTGACCATATCAGACCCTGAATAAGTTTTTCTTAAGTGTTCTTAAATCATATTCTAAGCTTAGACCGTACTGCAAAGCAGTGTTCTGGTGGCTTCTGATTACTTTGACTGTTTTTGCTGCCGTCTAGATTTGGGGTTCTCCCCTCACGTTTACTAAATATTATTCTGTAGCATAATAAAGGGTTGCTTTATAGAAAAAATAGGCTTATCATACTTGAGAATTTATATACAACTGAATGTTGATATATTTGTTGCCTTAGGTTCAAGGCCGCCCACAGAAAACACAGAGCAATGTCATCTTGGAGTCCCACATCATCTGCTGCACACTGAGCACAAGTGGTGGTTTATTGCTCGAGTCCGCTTTTCGGGGACAGGGAGGGGTTCCCTTCAGTTGCGTCATTGTCGATGAGGTCAGTGAGCCGTTGGGCATACAGCTTTGACCAGTGCTCTGAGGAGCTAGTCTCAGATGAGCAGAGGCTGCTGAGATGTTGACAAAATGGTCTTTTCGCATCTTATTTTTACCTGCCGTTAACGTGTGTTGCCTTATGTTGAAATATAACTTTGGTCAGCTCTGAGCCACGGTTTTTTCAGCCAACATCCTTTATTTCTAGTTCATTCATTGAGCAAACATTTATTAGGTACCTACTGTTCGCTAGAATGTAGAGCCAGAGATGGAAAATGAGGTAGAAAATCGACCCAGGAGATCCAGGATCCAGTAGGCACCAAAATGAAAGAATACAAAAAGTGAGAGTGATGGACTCATTGAAGAAAATGTCATTGAATCGAAGAGGTGCTTGAGTCTTGCAATTGAAAGGCCTGCCAGGGAGCAAGGAAGGAGGAAAGGGGTGGGGTGGGGACATACATAGACGCACAGTTCCCTCAGACACAACCCCGGGGCATTCCATGGCTTTCTGATTGTGGCTGGTTCTCAAGTGTCAGTGGCACTTGAGTGGTGGCTGACTTCAAAATACACGTGTAAATTTTTTTAAATAGAGTGTTTTCGTTTTTGTTGTTTGTTCCTTTTTCTAACTAAAGAAATTCCTTTTTATTTTTGATATTCGGTGCAGAAGGAGAAAGCGTGATATTTTTCTGAATGGTTAGAATGTTTGAGAATTAGACCATACGCGGATAGATAAGGAGGAGAGAGACTGAGACACACTCTCCGTCTGTCCTTCCTTCCCCAGGCCGGGCAGTCTTGCGAGGTGGAAACCCTCACCCCGCTCATCCATCGCTGCAACAAGCTTATCCTCGTGGGGGATCCCAAGCAGCTCCCTCCCACCGTCATCTCTATGGTGAGGCTTTTTATACTCTCATTTCTTTCAAGTGGAAGGGGCGTGGGGCGTTTCTGAGGGGTCTTTTTTTGGTTCATTATCCGTTACTTGCAGGGAAAAGTGGGGAAGGCTGAGAAAAGAGAACCGCTGTTTGAGACGTAGTCAGAGTCTCTGCAAAGGTCCCTCTGTTCGTAACTGTGCTCTGTATGTGTGTGACAGGAGCCATGTAAGAAGAGACCAGAGGACTAGAAGGACCCCATTCCATGTGCACTGGGCTTTTTCCTTTGGGAACGGCAGTGTGCAGCTCTTTGAAAGACTGTATTTAATTCATTTTAATAACGTAAACACCAAAGCAATAAAAGAACTTTAAAAGCAAGGAAAAGCATCTCCACCTACTGATTTATATTTAAATATATGCAAACTTGAAGAAAACTTTATAAAGAGAAATTATTTTTAGAGTACATGTCCGCTTTTAGAGTTCTTTATCCTGTGGTGCAAGAAAATGTCTGTGGCCCTCACATCCTCAGATAGCGAAGGTGACAGGAAAGGAATGCGACTGTGAGCTGTGCCTGTGCGGGAAGATGACCTGCACTGTGTGATCCACCCCGCTAGGTTCTTTGGTCCCTGAAGATGGCTCCTAGATACACATACCAGATTCCGGATTTAGTGCAGGGGTCCCAACCCCCAGGAACTGGGCTGCTCAGCAGGAGGTGAGCGGTGGGCCAGCGAGCCAGGCTTCATCTGTATCTGCAGCCGCTCCCCACTCCCCAGCGCCAGCATCACCGCCTCAGCTCCGCCTCGGATCCTCAGGCGTTAGATAGGAGCCCTGGTCTCTGGTGCCAAAAGAGTTGAGGACCACTGGTTTAGTGGCTGTGTTGGGTAATCTGTATAGGTCTTGACCATGGTTTTGGTGAAATTTAATGAACTTTGGATATTGTTAGGACAGTTTTTACATATAACTTATACAGATGTAGAGTAGCGGCTGCATGACTAATCCCATAGAATAGATTGTTTTCAAAGCATTTCTTCTGTTCGGTTGAGGAATGAGCACATGTGGATTTTGTCGTCGTCATTGTTTTTTAACGTTGCAGTCACTCTAAATGGTAGTGCAGTTCTTTGACGTCTGAGCACACGTGCGTGGTTATGTTTGGGGTGGCCTGGAAGCTCACCGTCTCGTCTCTGAGTAAAAGCCCATGTAGGTAGGAAAGCTGCCGCAGGTGACTCTCTTCGTGGAGGACAGTGAAGAGCCAGCTGTTTGCATTTCTGTAATGATGCAGTTTCTGAGAGTGCGGATGGACCTTCTTGAAGGGCTGCCGCACACAGCGAAAACAGATTATCTCTGGGCCTCACCTTTCCTGTCTTTTTCAGTGATTGATTAAAAGCCAACAAAGATGAGAAGAATTCATTTGGGCTTTTTCGTAATTGCAAAAATAATACGGGCTTATTGAAAATTCAGAAAATAATTACAAAGTTAATTTCCTCGATATGCCGTTCTAGTGACCCCTTTCAAGGGGTAATTACTGTGAACGGTTCAGTGAGTAGTTTAACAAACCTTGCTAGGCATTTGTGCATTCATTTCTTTATCTTTTTCAGTCTATGTTGAGTGCCGGCCTAATTCAGGTACTGTTTTAGGTTCTGGGGTTTTGACAGTGAAGAAAACGGACAAAAGCCCCTGCCCTCCGTGGAACGCGGAGCTTATATTCTAGTGGGTGACGCAGTAACTAAGTTACTGAAATACGGAACGTCAGGTGGGCGTGAGGTCTGTATGCGCGTGCGCACACGTAGCTGTGGCTTTGTGTAAAGGTGGCAGCGTCATGCAGGGCCAAATTGGCTTTTTTCCAGTCAGTAAATAGGTCAGGTATATCCTTCCATGTCGGAACATATATGCCTACCTCATTTTGTAGAATGAACCCCATTTTTTTCCTGGAAGTAGATGTGTTGCCTCATGGACGTTGTTTTTCTCAGAAGATTCAAAATGAGGTGTTTTGGCTAACTTGAATAGATAAAATCTTAGGGATGTAAATGAAATTGTCAAATGTCTACCAACATTTTCTTTAGTTACACAAACCTATTTAAAATCCCATATCTGAATAACATTTAAGAAGTAATACCTTTTCTCACGCTCTCACAGTTTGTGAAACAGGTATATTCAGACTTTGCCCACGTGTTTAACTTCACTCATGAAGAATCCATCATCTCAGTGCACATTTTGGTTTCTAGGTTTTTATATAATGCTTTTTGAATTTTGGTGTGATGCCGACATCGAAGAGTATATCCCAGGGCACAAGCATGATGACGGTTAGGACAGTTTTCTTCATTTGTCAGTTAGATGACTGTTTCTCAGACTGCGGGTTGTAATCCATTCTTGGGTTTATGCATCAACTTAGTCCATTGTCTGTTTCATCCACTGGATTGTTAGTTCTGTGAGGCTCGATCTTTGTCACCGTAGCAGTCTCAGCACCCCAAAGTTTAGATGCTGGGTGTCTGTTGAAGGGATGGATGAAGAGTTGGTCTTTTAAAGGGCTCGTTTACAGTGACAGTGAATGTTACTGTTGGTTGAGAGCGTACCCTAGAAATAGTCTGTGTCATGTGTCTGCCTCTTTCATCACTGAGCCAAGTGACCTGTGTTAGCATCAGTGTGGCTTCCGTTGTGAGCCTTCACAAGGTCCCATCTCTTCCTGAGCAGTGTGTGGGTTTCCCAGATCTGGAGGAGATACCTCCACCATCACCATGGTCATGCTGCCTGGCTTTTCAGGGGCAGAATCCCCACTCTGTCAGGGTCTCTGCTTGTTGGTGGCGGCACCTAAGCCTCGCCACGTGCTCATGAAAGTCAGCAGCTATTGTTGTCACGTGGGAGAGTGCAGACAAATGCTTAGAGGCTACGACTTTGTCCGCCCTGTCAGAAGGCCCAGGAGTATGGCTACGAGCAGTCGATGATGGCCCGCTTCTACAAACTGCTGGAGGAGAATGTGGAGCACAACGTGGTGGGCAGGCTGCCCGTGCTGCAGCTCACCGTCCAGTACCGCATGCACCCGGACATCTGCCTCTTCCCGTCCAATTACATCTACAGCAGAAGCCTGAAGACGAACAGGTGGGTCTCACCCTGCTCATTGATTCTAAAAGTCTTGTTGATCACAGCAGATGTGGGTGAGCAGAAAAGGGGGGGACGCCCACATCTGTACTACTCGGAGATATGCACTGGTACCATGTGAGGATGTGTCCTTCCAGCCCTTGTGCTACACATATCCTTTTTTACTTTTTTTTTTAATTAAAAAAAAATCATACTTTCCTCTACATAGGATTCTATGGCTTGCTTTTCTCATTTCCTCTATTATGAGTAACTTTCCAGTCATAATTGTTTTAATTACATAGATCATTCCCCGTAGCACTAGAATAGAAATAAAAATCATTTTGAGTCTTTCACGAAAGCACATGTCAGGAGAGGGTCCTTCTTGTCCCTGTACTTTCCCCAGCTCCCCTTCCTACGAAAAAAAAAGATGGTCACAATAATTTACAAAACTTTTCTCCTGACTTGACTCGTATTCTGATCGTCGATGGCGGCTGCTTCTTTGTAGGCTGACGGAGACCATCCGGTGCTCGTCAGACTGGCTGTTCCAACCCTACTTGGTGTTCGACGTCGGAGACGGCGCAGAGAGACGGGACAACGAGTACGTTCCCCCTTCAGTACCCAGCGAGGGGCCCAGAATTGTTAGATTAGTTTTGTTCGCATTTATGTTCAAAACACTTTTCCACACATAGTTCTCTGCCCAGGCCAGGCGCAGTCATTGGACTTAGCCGGGTCGATACCTTCCTTGATCGTACATTAGTGATATCTTTCTCTGTGTATTTCGGTCTCTTCTTCAGTGTGTAAGGGGGCTCGTACTCTCTGACAGTTGGCAGGCACTTGAGTAGATAACTGCTGAGATCGTAGCTGTGAGGAGGACACTGGGCGCCAGTGCAAGCTCGCTGTGCTCTGACGGGAGGCAGACATCAACCAAGTAGAGACTCGGGTCAGGTTCAGCGTCGTGAAGGCTAAGTATGGGTTTAGCTGAATAAAGGTGTGAGGCAGAGGCGGACGGTCCTTGATGTGTGTTGAATTATCCAGGTGGCCCGTGAATGACAACACGGGACTGGTGGTTGCTGGTTAGGAAACACACAGAGGAGCCAGAGCTGCTGGGAGAGGAGGGAGTCGTCTTGAGGTACAGACACCACCCATGTGTCATGAAGTTCAAGGGGACACAAACTCCACCTGTGTTGTGATGGCTGCAGAGCAGATCGTGTCCTCAGTGAGGGTCAGACGTCGGTCAATAGAGGTGGAGAGGTAGCAACACAGAAGCGGCCAGCTGGGGTCTGCGATGCAGAGGGGTGGGTTGGCGGGGGGCTGTTGGGGCAGAGCAGAGGCTGAAAGGAGCCCCATAAGCATGGTGGGTGTGGAAGGTCACAGAGGGACGTTGACCTGAAAGGGGACCAAGCAAAGTAAAGATTTTGAGGACAGAAGAGATGGTGAGCTAATTGTGGCAAGTTTTGAAGTTACGATAGTGGGTATTTAAGGCTCGTGGCCTCAGGACTAAAAGGTGCAGGTGCAGTGCACCCCAGTGTCCCTGTAGGCCACATCTGGCATGACGAGGGCACACGTGCAGTTTGGGAGACACGTCGGGGTGAAGGAGGCGGCCAGCATGGACCTGGCCTGCTGCAGGCCCCGTGCGGCTCATCCCGGGGGCTCGCACCGCGTTCAGTTGTGCAGGTGGCGTCCACTCAGTCGTGTGGTGCCTGACCTACGTGGCCGGTGGTGGGGAATTAGGGAAGAGGACACATCTAAATCCTTTTCTTGGGGTCCGGAAGGTAGCAGGTCTTTAATGGTAGCTGTTTATAACATCTTCATAGTTGTCCTTCCCTTCTTACTGTTGCTGTCCCCATGTTAACAGATGTTTAAGAAATTGATACCTAAATTTCAGTTGACTGCACACTCATTTCTCCCTTACGACCTCACGTTCCAGCAGACAGTGGTTTTTCTGTTTATGTGCATGTGCGGTGTCAGCGGTCACTGCGCCAGCCTCCCCGAGTCACTGCTGACTGACTGGTCTGCGCTTTACTGTGGTGGAAAGCAAAGCGAGCCTTAAGGTAGCACTTGGACCACTCTTAGTTTTGACATGGGTTTTTTTTTTTTTTCTATCTTATTTAGCTCGTATGTAAATGTTCAAGAAATAAAACTGGTAATGGAAATAATTAAACTTATTAAAGACAAAAAAAAAGATGTCTCTTTCCGAAACATCGGCATCATAACGCATTACAAGGCTCAGAAGATGATGATTCAGAAGGAGTTGGACAAAGAATTTGATGGAAAAGGGTGAGGCACCTATATTTTTACAGATATTTCCAGCTTTTCGGATGAATGAAAGAGAAGAAAGGGGGATAGACAGTTTGGGTGCGAAGCCTCCCTTTTCTCTTTCCTCTGCTCCCTTTCGCAGTGACTAGCCGGCATCCGCGGGCTTGTGCTGGGTGGGGAACGGGTGCCCTTGTCGCCCTTGTAGACAACTGTCCCACCAGCCGCAGTGTCAGCACCGTCAGACTTGACAGTGGGAGTGACTGAGACCCATCCCCAAGGCCTTTGCCTTTAGTTCCGTGACTTGTCGATCCAAATTCTAGTTCTAGGGGCTCATGAAGTCCCTTTTTCACTTAAATTACTTGTCCCTTTTTCACTTAAATTACTTGTCCTTTTTTAGTGTTTTAATGTATAGGGCGAAGGTCACATTTTTGTCTTCTTTGTACCTCAGCAGCAAAACAGTAGTTTAGATTTTGGAAATCTAAGGTTTCTTAACCTAGAAACACATAAACTACCAAAATTTACTCTAGAAAAAAATAGAAAATTTGTACCAACTTACAGAAAGTAGAGGTGGAGCTAGTAATCGAACACTTCCCAGCAAAGAAGAACTCGAGACCAGGTTTTGTAAATGGATAAATGAATTTCGGTATACCTGTACAATCAAATATTCAGTCATAAAAGGCATGAAGCACTGACACACGCTGTGACATGGATGAACCTTAAAAACATGCTCAGCGGGAGAAGCCAGACACAATGATTCCATTTGCACGAAATGTCCAGCATAGAAAGTAGCTCATTGGTTGCCAGAGCCTGGAGAGGCGGGGAAATCGAGACTGAGGGCTGGTAGGGCTTCTCCCTTAGGTGACAGAGATGTTGACATGAGATAGTGGTGGCGGTCACACAGCACAGGGAATGGATGAGAAGCCACTGAACGGTGTACTTTACCATGGCGAGTCTGTGTTATGCGCATTATGTTTCAGTAAATAAAGATACCATGAAAAAGTTTCTGAAAAATACTATGTAAACATATTTAATACTTACCTTACTTTTTCCAGTAAACGTGTTTCTCTCTCATAAATAGGCCAGCAGAAGTAGATACTGTGGATGCATTCCAGGGTCGTCAGAAAGATTGTGTCATTGTCACGTGTGTCAGAGCGAATGCCATGCAAGGCTCAATCGGGTGAGTAACTGTCATTGATTTTTTTAAGTCGTGAAATTGATCCACTCTTGGGTCCGCTTCTCTTGCTACCTTATGTATTAATCCATGTCACAGTGCGAACCGATTCTTTTATTAAATAAGTGAAATAAATCATCGAATCAAGTGTATTTTGCAGGGGCGTGTTATTCTCCTGTGGGATGTGGCTTACGTGTTTTTCCTCTTCTCTCTGTTTCCTGCTTTGGCTAACTTTGTTAACCCTAACTACTGTCCGTTTACTTGCTGTGGATGGTAAGGACGTGTAGTGGGTGACAGAAAACTCCCCTGAGTCTCGGGGGCCCTGAGATTTTCTTCTCACGAGTAGTGACAGGTGGAATTTCTAGATTGTAAATAAATTTAATTGTTCTTAAAATAGTAATTTAAGTTATCCCTGCCCCTCCCTAGAGATAGTCTGTATATACAAATCGAGGCCAGTTATCTCAAGACCATTTTGCAAACAGTCCATTCTTTTCCAACTAATTTGAAATTTCTGCTTATCATACACCAGTTGTTATTTCTGACCTTTTTTCTGATCCACAATATTTTAATAATCTCAAATATATTTAAATTTAAGACACATTGATCTAGTGTCATATTTTTAGGATGTCTTTAAGGCTTAGAAATCATACTGTTAAAATTTCTAGTATCTCATTCAGGTCAAAATAGGAGACTGACAGATGCATTCCTCTGATGGTAATGATGCCCTCGAAGCTACAGACTTGAAAGCACTGGGTGCTTTGATCACTGTGTTTAATGTGGAGTCGCGTCTGGGCCAGGGACCTTGTGCTGGGAAAGGAGGGGAAAGCTCTGCGACTTTAAGGAAGAAGGAGCCTGAGGAAAGCGCTAGAGCGCTGCCTGCGTGTCACCCACGCTGACGTGCCAAGCCATTCTGTAGAGAGAAGTAACTCTTCGTTTTTCTTTTTCATTGCCTAGATTTCTGGCAAGTTTGCAGAGATTGAACGTCACCATTACACGAGCCAAGTACAGCCTCTTCATCCTCGGACACTTGAGGACCCTGATGGTAGGTGCATTCTTGGGAACCAGAGAACTCAAGTTTGCCCATCGTTCCTGATATTGGGTTGAGGTTCAGTGTTTATTCTCCATGAAAATGGAGATGGTTTCAGGGATACATTAAGTAATGCGCCTCTTCCCCCAGTTGCGCGTCCTCCAGCGACTTCTTCCTAGAGCTTTTACATCTGGAAACCTCTCCCCTTTTCTCAGCCCAGGGCCCACAGTGTGCTCTCGGGTCACCTGTTAAAAAAATTTTCCACATCATAGGATTGCTAACACGATACGTAAGTCCATGCATGTAAAGGGCTGGAAGAGGCACTCAGCAAACACGAGTGTTTGTGGCTGCTCTTGGCCCAGCTTAATGCCAGAGAGGGGGACCTCACAAGAGTTATTGGATCTTTTTTTTCCATTTTGGCACTTAGAGCAATACTGCTCGCTCTTGAGAAGTGAGTGGTATACCACTTCGGTAGACAAATGGTACAGCTTAATTTGGTGATATTACCTCTTTGGTAGACAAATGGTACAGCTTAATTTGGTGGTATTACAGCTAGATAAAGCATATATTTGCTACTTGTCTCCTTAGGGGTAATAACTTCAGTTTTTCTCATTTCTAAATTTCACAGTCATTGGTTGGTTACAGGATGGAAGCCAACTCAGTAGATTTCTCCTGTTTTGGTTAGTGCCACCAGGGGGCGGTCAAGCACAGCCTTTCATTCAACTCTCAGATCTGTGGCCTTGAACTTTTGTGTGCCTCCTTGAGAATTTTTAAAAGCTGTGTACCCTGTTTTTAAGTATTGCTAATGACTTTGTTTCTGTTGTGTTACAAATATTGACATTTTAAAGCTTTTAAAAGCAAATCTAAGCAAAAAAGTAAAAAGTAAAAGTAAATCTATTACATCACTCTTAAATGCCTCTGATGGACTGGAGGTCAGTATTGCTGTCTGCTCTTTGAAATTGAACTTCCGTTCGTATTTTTGAGGGTAAAATTCAGTGGGGTAATATGTTTTTATAATTAAAAGTTTTTCTGTCCTCACTACAAAATCCCTCTGCTACAAAAATTAACATATAAATTAAAAGTTTAAAAAGCTTTTTCCATAACTATGTGAGGAAACTGCGAAGCTGCCCGGAGCCTCTGCGGACTTTTTTTTTTCAGCTTCCTGTGACTCTATGTTAACCTCAAAATAAAGAGTTTTTTTAAAACTATTTTTCCTGTGACCATAAGGATCTGAGTGTTAAAAAATGACTTATTGTCAACTGAATAATCTGTTACTATTATTATTTTCACACAGGTGAATTTTGATGATGATGTTTAAATCTGTAAAGTAAAATGTTGGTAGAGCTGATTACAGGGACCCTGTGGGCACCCCGATTTTTACTGCCCCCGTTACCTGCCACCTGGGAGTTTTCTCGTGCCCTGGCAGCGCACCCCTGTCAGATTTGGGCTGGACGCGAGCTGTAGTGACGAAGGGCGGGTGAGCAAGGCCACCAGGACCTGGGAAGCAGCCATTCTCACAGCCTGGGGGTCACACTGGCACAAACTGGAAGACTGCGGACCTCCTGCTGTGACACTGGCTTCACTCTAGGGACTCAGGCTACAAAAAGAGACGGAAAGAATGGAATAGAATAGAAAAATCTGCCAGTTCATCCTCAGGCTTTCAGACAGACTTTTGTTGGCCTTGGGGCTTTTTTACGCTCCGGTTTCCTTACGGAAATGGGATCAGTGGATTGATTGATTTCCTCCGACGCCCTTCTCAGAGCTGTTTTTGTGGCCTTAGGATTGGATTAAACACCAAGTTCAGGTGTAGTAGACTTGGCCGCCTGCTTCACATGTGTGCTTCAGCTGCAGGGTGAGAATTTCTAGAGCTTTCCTGCATGAGAAGACATCCGAGCACTGCCTGGCACTGCCTGCAGGGGGCCTGTCCGGCGTGTGCCCGTCACTGCATTTTATTTACATGATTTCCTTTCAACCTGACAACAGCCCTGGGGAGTCAGCATTGTCACCATAGTTTATCAAATTCAAGAAGCCATTAATGACAGTGCGCAGCATTATTTTACTTAACTACTATTAAACTGACACACCACCTTATTTTCAACTTAGAAGTTTTGTTTTATATTTATTGAATTCTTAGACTTGTTCAGACAGATTTTCACTATATCATGCCTGTTCATCCATAAGAGAAAACACGAATGAAATGAATAGGCTGGGGCACTCCTAAAAGTGTTCCACTTTGAGCGTGTAACACCACTTAGTCATTTCCCAGGTCAAGGATGCGTGTCCTTGCACACACCCGGCTGCCCTGTGCGGTCAGAGGGTCAGAGGCTGGTGGCGCGGCGGCGTCTGAGCGCCCCCACCATGGCCTCTGGGGCTTTCGTCCAACCCCCGTCTCTGTTCTCCACCTTTTAAAGCCAGTGCTTTCTAGAGTCTTATCAGATGATGTCTTTGGACAGGTTTTCAGGCCAAAGCCAGATGCATTTTTTTAAATCGTTTCCTGACGAAAAGTTCAGGGATCATAGTTGCCTCGCCAGAGATTCCTCCAGGATTAAATACGTGGCAGTGCCATCCGGCCAAGAGGCACCCCAAATGTAGAAACGGTAAAGTGCGAAGACAGTGCACATTTAGAATCAGTTAAATATTCTGATTTAACAGATGAGGAAACAGGCTCAGAGAGACCAGGTGATTTGGTCACGTAGCAGTGAACCCTGCACGTGCCCCACTGACCTTGCCCACCCCATACGTAGCCCGGGGCCCCCGTGAGCGGAGCCCCCCATTTTCTTCTCTCTCCTCTAACTTTTGCCCTTTTTCCTGCCTCGTGCTCGTTCTGTCTTCTTTCCGAAGAGGTCTGAGTTCTGGAGGCCGTGAAGAGGCGGTTCCTTGCCGAGGAAGCTGGAGATGGGCACGGGAGGCGCGTGCAGTGGGCTGGCTGCCCCCTCACACGAGCTTTTTGTAGCTTCAGCTTCTCTAGAAGGGGGACGGACGGCGGCCCGGCGGCTTTGGCGTGGCGTTTCAGGGAGCGAAGTGCTTATTCCCCAGAGTCAGGGCCTTTGGGAGCTTGGTAAAAGCCGTGGACCTTTTTCCAGAACTGTCACACACTCAAAAGTTAGGGTCCTTCCTGCTCCAGCTCATCAGCCTTGCTAAGAGGCAGGCAGGACTCAAGATCAGCAGCATCCAGGGAACTTTCTGGCTGATGGTGCTGCTCCGTGTCTGCAGTGTCCGGCATGTTAGTCCATGGTTGCAGGCAGCTGCCAGGCGCTGGACATGTGGCTGGTGCAACTGAATTTTTAATTTCATTTAATTGTGATTAATTGAACTTTAAGTAGCTACATGAGGCTGCTGTCAGCCGGTGCAGATCTGCATGGCGTCTGGTCACCAGGCAGCACGAGTGGCAAAAACGGAAGCTGTTCTCCTCATGGGTGGGGAGGTCCGGGGACGTGGTGTGTCGCGCTGTGTTCTAACCTGTTTTTCCTTTCAGCCTCGTCTAACAAGTAATGGATTCTTGAGACTCTCTGTTCATAAACGTGGGCTCGTCTGTTCGGGATCAGAGCCGGAACCGCACGCTTTGCAAGCAGGTGCGCGGTTCTTTGGGGCGTAACTATTTCTCCCTCTTCGTTTCAAGGAGAACCAGCACTGGAATCACCTGATTCAGGACGCACAGAAGCGTGGTGCCATTATCAAGACCTGCGACAAAAACTACAAGCACGACGCAATGAAGATCCTGAAACTCAAGCCCGTGCTGACGAGAAGTCTGACGCACCCTCTGACCGTCACCCCTGAGGTGGCCAGACCCCAGGGCGGCGACCTGCCCGGCACCAAGCTGGACGGCACCTTCACCAAGGTAGCTTTTGCTTTGTCTCTGTGCCACGTAGCCTCTGACTCCAAGGAGGCTCTTGCGACTCTTGCTGCAAAGGACTCAGAAAGGCCGCCTGCGAAGGACCAGCCTCGCGACCCACGGCTTTTTAGGAGGATGGGCGTGAGCCCTGAAACCAAAGGGAAGTGCCTGCAGGACCCACAGCCCTTGAGCCCCCAGTATCCTGGAGCCACGCCTCCCCTGGGGGAGCCAGGCTGCGTGAGTCCCCAGGCTCTGGGCAGCCTCGCAGAGCAGCCCTCTGCCACCGGCAGCAGCCACAGACCTCGCGTGCCGAGTGAACCTCCAGCCGCTGGCACCGATGCTGCCAGCGATCAAAGGAAATGTGACCAGGAAGGGGAGCACGGCCACCGGAGAGAGACCAGGGCTTCCAGCGAGGGGAACCAGGAGCGGCGGGGCCCTGCGGGCCGTCACACCAAGAGGAACTCTTCCTGGGATGGCCGGGTGCCGGAGAGGGAGGACCGCAGCTCCAAGAAGAGGAAGCTCCCGTAGGGAAGCTGCGGCCCAGACCTCGGCCGAACACTGCTGCAGGTCAAGGTGGCGGCCGACGGTCTGTCCTGATGGGATTGTTCCTTAAAGGGAGTGTGTGTGCTATTGGGAAACGGGGAAAACACGTGGTGACCCGGGGCCTGCGGGTCATCTTCAGCGCTGCTGTCAGCTGCAGAAACTCTGGAGAGGGCGTTTGCGTTTCGATGTCAGTGGCCTTGAAGCGCCAGACGTGACTTGTTGATCTCTTGTTCTTTTTGAAGAAAGTTAGGTCGAATCGGAGCGGATGCTGTAAAAGCTGAAATGTGTATTTGTATAGCAAATAACAAAGTCCTTTTACAATTGAATCTAGTAGATCACTTTTCTTTCCTCTGCTTAAAATGTTAATCATTTTCACTAGAACAAATTTTATATTTAAAAAAACGAAAGAAAAGCAGGAGGAGGGCAGGGCCTGTCAACCTGTCATGGCAAGACAGGTCTCCAGCAGCCCGCCCGGCAGCTCCGACATCCCTAATTCTGTTGAAAAAAGATCCCTGGAAGCTGCAGGAAGCAGATTTCTGCTGGGTCAGGTTCTACCGATGTGGGACAGTTCTAGATGAGGCACCTTAGCACAGGATGTGGCATTTCTGTGACTAGCTCGCCCACCTGTTTAGTGAGCACATAGTTCTCTAGCAGCAATTCGTCTTGAAATAGGTGTGAAATGAAAGGGTCACTCTCAGATTATCTTTTCTTATGCCCCTGGCAGCTCGTGAGCTTCCAGTAGGTACGGTTCCAGCTCAGTGGGTGCCCGCTGCTGGGTCAGGACCAGCCGCCTGCGGGTTGCCAGGGGAACCCAGCCAACTAATTCATTTTAAGCAGAGCCTGGAAAGCCTCGTGTCAAACACCTTCCCAAGGGCTTCTGTCACCAGGCAGCTTGGGACCATGATGGCGTCAGGCCCGGTGTGATAATTTAGGCAGGAAGGAAACACCCTTTTACGGAGAAGGCTCAGCACTCAGAACCAGGGGTGGGCTGACAGGTCCCCCAGGGTCTTGGGCACCATCTGAACTGTGGAGGCCACGCTGTGGGTCGTCAGGCGTTGTGCTGTGAGTGGAGGGCTGAGGGGCTGCCTGAGGTCCAGCCCCGGTTTCCAGGCACTCTCCGGCACACGTTCCCGGTGTGAGAGGGGATAGTGCAGCGGTGGCAGGGGACAGTTGTTAGAATCTGGCTTGTGCCGTGTAGAGCGCTCGGCCGGAAGTTGAGTCCCTGGAGGTGGATGTGTGCGCCATGTTCACGTTTGTCATTCGTTTTTGAAGCATAAAGGGCTTTGTGTTAGAAGTTCTACTGAAGTTATATGAGTTAAGAGCTGTAAAAGAAAGTGTTTGGTTGCCAAAAGTTCAAACGTCCTGTTCCTTCATTATGTGTCCCTGTCACCGGTGTCCAGACACCTGCTGATGCCGAACGAGGGACGCGCCTGCTCCCCGCTTGCCAGTGGAGAGTGGCCCTGGCGGGCGGTGGGGGGAGGGCCACCCCATCCAGGAGTTTCCTGCGTGTGCCTTTGGCAAGAAATTTCATTGGTTAGGTTTACTTCCCATCTCTCTCGGTAAAATGCTCAATTTAGCAGTTATGGGAGTGGTGACAGTTTAGTCCCCCAACTCTGTAAATGTGTACAGGCGGCAGGACACACAGTCGGGGTCAGTAGCTTCTCCCGCTGTGCTCATGCGTACAACACATGACTTAAGAGAAGTGTCCTTCCGGTTCAGCTTGGTGCCTGGGCTCACACGCGGTGCTCACCTGTCGGCTCGCCTGGTCTGATGATGCAGGAGTGAGTAGGAGAGCTGTGGAACCCGGCCTCTCCCGGCAGGACACAGTCTCCTCTGACCCTGCATTGGAAACTCTTTGTTACTCTTGTTGCTGCGGCTGGTAAAAGTATTTGCATAACGCATTTCACACGTAGAGTGTGGCTCTCTGTGGCTGTCATAGCGTTGTTGGTTGGTAGTTAATCTCATCACAGGGCGAAAAATGGCTGTTTGCTTCGTCCTTGCCACGGCACCGTAAGAACGTGCCCTGTCTTCTTTCAATATTCTTTCAACATGAATGTATTCTTATTTTGCTTTTTTGTATATAATTTGCATAGGATTTATTATGCACGGTTTATTTAGTTAATATGTTTTCATGTATTATCAGGAGCAAATTTGATAAGTACATGTGAATAATCTGGAAATGTTTTATAACAAAGTGTACTAAACTATTTTCTAAAATTAATTGTGTACATTGATAATTTTTTGCTGTAGCTTTGACTCTTTCTATGCTCTTAATTCATAGCTGGGATTTGGCAAACAATAGATCTGTTGTCTATTAAAAACCTAAATTTTACGAGAAAATGGCAGAATTAAAAAATGGAAACAAAACTGACACGGGTTAGGGGTTCTGTGTTGTTTAACTGAGGTGCAGCGGGCGAGCCGGGAGTCCATCTGGTCTGCCGTTGGACTTGCTTTATGCGGAAATTATTCAGTGGAGATTTGTTTCATTCAAGCCTGTCACCGAGCCCCACCCCCACCTCTCTTGCCTCCCGCCCCTTTTGGAATCTTAACCTGTAGGTGACGAGGCGCCTTGTGGAGAAGCATGGTGTCAGTAGGTGTCTAGTTGGGTCCAAGGAAACACATGTTCACCACTAGGCTGAGATGGGGGAGGGAGCGAGGGAAGAGGGACAGATGTGACCCATGAAAGGCGCTCCTAGGCACCGAGGGCGGGGATGTCCTGGGCGGGCCTAATTGCTGATGGGCACAGAGATGCGGTGTGTTTTATTAAAGTAACTTGGGGAATGTAGTCAGCCTTTGCCACACTGTGCCTGGTCAAAGTGTACCTTCAGCCTCTGTCACTGTGCCCAGGGTGAGCGTGCCGACAGCCTCCCCTGGCCGCTTGCCCATCCTAGACGCGTGCACACGTCACCCGGGTGGGTCAAATGACGTGTTTGGCAGTTAACGGGGCTTACTTCACCAAATGACCCGACGAGAGGCGTGCGCTCTGGGATGAGAGGTGTGCGCTCTGGGAGAGCCGTTCTCTTTGTGGAATTTGTCACTGCGATGATTTTTAAAGTCACTCCTGACCAACCCGCACATGCGATCACCGCCACTTCCTGGGTTTCTCCATTTGCTGAGGAATGAATAATTGAGAGAGGAAACTAAAATTTAGCTCCAGCTTTAATAGAATTTGTAGTGTTGGGCGGCACCATAAAAGCAGTTTCTGTACACGGGGGACCCCTCTATAACTCTTAAAGGACCTGAGTTACTATCACCCTGTCTTGCTGTGCAGTGGGCATTTGCCAACTCAGATGGCATAAACGGTACCCACAGACCAACAGGAGCTGGGAGCCTCGGGAGGCGGCCTCAGTGTGCTGGTGCCCCCCAGCTTCATGCTCAGAGGTCCAGGTGTTGGCCCAGAATCACCCCAACACATAACTAGATAAGGAGAGCCTGCCGGTTGCACCTGGCATTAACCCCATCTTGGTAGAGCGTGTCATGAAAGGTTTTATTTCCAGTTGCTCGGGTTCTATAATGATCAGATGATAAGAGCAACAAACGATGCAAAAACTGACATTTCCCAGGTCTGCAGGCCCCAAATTCACGCCTGAGTCCTCTGCGCCACAGCTGAGCTACGCCACACACTGGGTGAAGCAGCAAGAAAAATGGGATTCAAAAAAAACAGGCCACAGGGACAGTTTTTCATGGTTCCTCTGCCTGCGGGATGGGTTCCCAGGGGGATTTTGGGACCCCACCCCCAGGCTGCGGCTGCCACAAGCAGGTCTGTGATGGGGTCAGGCCTTGGGGCGGGGCTGGGAGGTCAAAAGGAAACCAGCGGGAAGACTATACCCCAACCGCAGTGCCATTCGACTCACGGGGGGCCTCTTTTCCTGGTCTCCCCGAAACTGCAAAACATTGCTTCCTCCTCCTCTGCCAGACACTCCCCTGGGCTCTGCAAGGACCGATCGGCTTCTGAATTAGTTGATTCTGACCTCTTGCCGATCGCTTGGTGCAGGGACCAACTCCTGGAGCTTCCTGTTCTGCCATTTTCCAGGATGTCACTTCTTTTAAAATTGCATTTTTAAATTGAATCTATTTAATTTTATTTTCAAATCCTTCAAATGCCTGACATCTTCTAGTCTTTAAACTGCTCTCATAATCTCATAATTTAAACTTGTAAACAGTGAGTCTCAAGTTCTTTTAAAAATCCCATTGAATAAAATATTCTTAAATTCTCCAATTTAATCCCAAACTGAGTGATTCATTAGGTTTTGAACTGAACTAACAATACTAATCTGGCAGATTAATATGCCAAATTCTCTTAAAATGTTGAAAACACCTTAATTATCACATGCACTTTAATAGAATTTGATATACCAGCATTAGTGGTTTATACGGTTCGAAGTTACTTCATAGGCTCTTGTAATTTTCAGTCTTCCCACAGGAAGAAAGCTGCTGCTGAGGGATGTTTTCATCCTCCTAAATGAATCAAGGCTAGCATCCCAAGCAACATGGAGCTAAATTTGTGACTAGAGGACTGTATGTGTCCACAGTGATTCTCAGGCCACTGGTTGGCACAGACTCAGCTCTTAAACTTCTTGTGAAATAAATCGTACATATCAGAGTGTATATAAGACCGATGTAGAACGAAAGGCTGGGGATGAAGTAAACACCAGTGCACTCACCACCCCAGCCTACGAAATGGGACTCCGATGCCTGGAAAGGCCACTCATGCTCCCCCCCTCCGCCCACCTCCGTGCAACCTCCATCCTGGATTCCGTAGAGAGCGAGGAGACGCACCCCCTCAGGGGTGGGGGGAGAGAGAGGAAACAGGTCATAACAGCCAAGGTGCCACGCACTTCTCTAAGCGCTGCACGGACTGACCTGTTTAATCCTCACAGTAGCCCGTGACGTTATGACTATTTTAACATCCCCATTTCACAGGTGAGGAGACTGAGGCACAGAGAGACTGCCCGAGGTCATCCAGGTGATGAAGGACAGAGTCCAAGCCCTTCACCGCCATCCTTCTGTTTTGGGGACCACCTTCCCCTTCAGGGCCAGCTGTGAAAGCTGCAGCAGGGGACAGGCCCCAGTGCCTTCGGTGTCAGCTGCAGAGCTCCCGGGACTCCAGGACCCATTCCAGCTTCACCTGCTCGGTCAGCAAAGGAGGTGTCGCCTGGCCAGGAGCCATCCGAAGTGCTGCCACCTGGCCTTCCAGCCTCGGGCCCACCCTTGCAGGATCTTCTGTGCCACCAGGAACATAGCCACAGACTCTGGGAGCCTGGCCAGACCTTGTCAAGCCTGAGGGATACGTGGGCGACACAGTGGCAACTTTCTGCCAGCAGCTGGAGTCCTGCTGCAAGCAGACCTTGGTTCTGGGTGGGGAAGGGGGCGATAGGAGGGGGCAGAAAGTGAAAGGGTAGGGTGTCGCATTTCTTTTTGATTTTAAAAGGCCTCCTTCGATATTCAGGTTATGTTGTTCAGCGTTAGCAGCAGGCTAAAGGAGGGCGGATGTAAGACAAGGCCATTATTGTTAGGAATGAATAAATGGGAGAGGGGTACGCTGTGCGGCTCAGTGAGCCTGGGATTTGCACCTGGACTCTGCCTTTCTGGCTGTGTGACCTTGGGCAACTTGCACACCCTCTCTGTGCTGGATAGTCCGCTTCTTCGTGCCCTTCCTTGGCCTGGGGACGGGGGCGGTACCCGAGGCAGCATCCGGGTCCACAGGGACAGCAGCCAGGGCTCTCCAGCCACTGGGGACAGGATACTGGGTGTTGCTCTGGCTTCGTGAGACCCTCCCCACGCATCCAGCTCCCCTGATGTGATTCTGGGGGTCCTGACATCCTTCAAATCATCCCTTTTTCTGCTTAAATCATGCAGAGTTGCCTTTGGGTGCTGTGTCTCAGCTCTGTGACGGGGACGCTTTTGGAGCCTCTGCGTCCTCAGCTGTACAATGGTGAGTCCTCAGCTATAGGGATGGAGCCACTCGGCTCCCTGCCAGCACCCTTGAAATAAAGATGGCAAACCTTGGCACAAAGCTGAGCACCGGGCTTAACAAATGCTGGGGAAGCTGCATGTGGATTTGTTTTATGGAAAAGTACTAGAAACGTATATCAGAAAGTCTTAAGAGTCGTTAGCTCAGGCTGGAGGATTGTGGGTGATTTTAACTTAAAAATTATTATCGTTTCACTTTCTATATTTCTAACTTCTCTACGGTCGTAATTTGTGTTTTAAAAAGGAAAAATAAGCAAGGAAAGCTTTCCTTCCCTGGGCCTTTTGCCTGAACTCATTTAGCCGAAGTAGTGCTGGGCGGGGGGCGGGGGGTGGTGTGCAGAGTGCAGGCGTGCGGTGAGCCCCCTATCATCCCTGCCTGCTCCAGCCCGGCCCTGGCCTGCCAAGAGATGCCCACAGCGGCTCCCCAGTTGCCCATAAATGCCTCGCAACTGTAATGCATGGCGGAGGAGGCAGGAGCCCTGCAGGACACAGCAGTCCTGCTTATTTAGAGGGGGCAGTGGGGGCAGGGCTGAGGATGCCTTGGAGGGGTGTCAGGGGAGGCGGTGGCTTTTCCCCTGACAGCAAAGCCATTTGGATGAAGCCTGGCTCCCCGAGGCTCCTTGCTGCAGTGGGGAGGAGGGAGGTGGCAGGAGCGGGCGCAGGCCAGCCTGGGGGGACGCCCCTGCCTGGGGCGCCATGTCTGCTTAAACCCTGGAACCTGGAGTCAGGCTGTCTTGAGTCAACGCCTGACTCGAGGCAAGTTCTGCCCCCTCTCCTAACCTCCACTTCACTTTCTGTAAACAGGTATGACCATCCCTCTGCTTCTGGCAGTTGTTCTCAACCTGGGGCAAGGTTGTCCCCAATTTGCATTGCCTGGAGGCACTTTTCGTTGTCGCAGTGGGCAAGGAGGTGCTACTGGCATCTAGTGGCCGGAGGCCAGGGATGCTGCTGAACACCCTACAATGCACAGGACTGGTCCCTCCCCCACCAAGAATGTCCATGGTCCCGAGGTTGAGAAGCCTGGCCTAGGGTGAAGGTGAGGGTTAACTGTGCCCACGAGTGTGCAACGCCTGTGGACGGTGGCTGTGTTAGCCAAACTGTGATCCCCTTGGCCATCCTCCTTCCGTCTCAGAACCAAAGGTCAAAACAGGAGTTCTGGGGACAAGGGCACACCGTCCAAGGGGAGGCTGCGCTGTGACTTCGGGCTCCGCTCACCTTGTTTCTCCTCCCTGCTGCCTGGAAAATGTGTTTTCCAAATGGCCACTGGCGACTTTCCCTCTGGCCTCTGGCTGAGGCGAGAGCTGGGCCTGGTCTTCGGGGACAGGACTGCCACTGATTTACGATGCGCTCCCCCTCCCTGGCCCTTGCTTGGACAAAGGCTAGTCCTGGGGAAGCTACACGGTGCTGGGCCTGCAGAGAGAGAGGCTAGGGAGGACAGAGCGGCAGAGCCCCCGAGGCCCTCTCCTCCCAACCCCTCTGGGTGACACAAAGAGGTGTGTGCAGTAGGAGCTGTTGGTGTCTGTCCCTGAGCCCCTCTCTGGGAGCGGCCCCTCCCCACTGCTGAGTTTTAACAGCTAACAGCCGCTCCCCTCTCTCCCACGGGCTTACACTGCAGCCCCTGCCCCAGCGAGATGCCAATGACAGGCCGATGGGAGCTGCCCCCTCGCCTAGAGATGTGACTTATGCCCAGAGCCCCGCCCCCGGCCCCAGCCAGGCCCTTCCCTCCCATCAGAGTTCACTCAACAAACCCATGCACTGGTCCCCATCTAAGTTCTGCCTCATCTAAGTTCTGGACGCTAGACTGCGTGCGCGTGCGCGTGTTTAGGAGTGAATTATCGTGGTTCCTTTATATTTTAATATCGCGATGACTGGGAGTCAGGCAACTGCTTACAAATTGCAGCCAGCCTTGGTGGTTACCTCGTAGGTTGGCAGCCTGCCCCTCCTGCTCTCATTTCCAGGTGGCAGGTGGGGGCGGGTCCTATTCTGGAAGGACGTGGCTCCAGACAGCAAGGCCCTGACTCCCTGGCCTGACGCTGCTGGAGTTGGGTGTCTTTGTCGCGGGCAGCATATGGCACACGGGCTGGGGCCGCAGGAGGAAGGGTGTCAGCCTCTCTGGCCTCGGGGGACTCGGGGGCCCAGATGCTGGGTGGGGTGAGCCTGTAACCCATAGTTTAGGAAATGGTAATTCCGCATGTAACAGAAAACCCGAATTCCAGTGTTTTAGTCACGTTGAGGTTTATTTTTTTCTCACGTCAAGAAGTGTGAAGGTTGGCAGCTGGGGCTGGCCTGTGGCTCTGCTGGGTCCTCAGAAAGGCAGCTTCGCCTTCCTGGCTCAGCCATCCTCTCTCACACCCTGGGTGCCAGGCCGCCCCTCCCCACAGCCCGCTGACTGAGCACTGGGGGTGGGGTGCGTAGTGGGGAGAGAAAAGCCAAGGCTCAAAACTTGGCCAACTGAGGCTTGCTTGGTGGGGAGTGGGGGAGAGGAGGTTTCTTGAAGCCCCGCCCACCCATCCCTCCTCCTTACATCTCATTGGCCAGAACTGTGTCACATGGCCACCCCTGTGCACAAGGAGCCCAGAGATGTTTTATTTCAGCCGAACTGAGTGGGTTCTGTCAATAAGGAAGTCCGTGAAGCCACAGGAACCTGATAGAAGGCACTTCTAACTGACCCTGCAACCTGGCATTGGGGATGGCAGCTGGGGGATGTGGGGGTGGGGTGTGGCCTGGTGATGCAGCCCGTCATATATGCTATCGGTTGTAGCCCCCCTCCTTTGCTGGGTTGCAATCCCACCATCTTCGAAACTGAGTGTTGTTCTGCTCGGTTTTAGCACTGCCTCGGGGTCTTGGGGGAGTGTGGCAGGTCAAAACTTCCCAGCCTGGGAATTTTTGCGGCTGCTGCTGGCAGAAGCAGGTGGCAGAGGGTGACTGCAGGAGGGGGCTGTGACCTTGGGAGCCTTCTGGGCTGCGAGGAAGTGAGTAGGTGGGGCACGAAATCCTGAGTGCGGCCTCCAAGGGCCAGACAGACTCGGGCATGCTCACTAGCAAGGGGCCTCAGCTGACGGGCGCCATTCTTTAGAGCCTCCTGTCACCACCCCAGCTCTGCCCCTGCAACCCCTTGGCCATCTGTCCTCCTGCCTGCGCCCCCTTGGCGGGCTCTGGCCAGCAGGGGGCTCTGGAAGGAGGCGGCCCCCGCAGACACTGGGCCTGAGGTTCAGGGTCCAGCAGGTCTGAGGCCACACGACCAACCCGATTTGTAAATCGGATCCTGGAAGTCACGCCCTGTTAGAACACTGGACTCTCAGCAACGATGTCAGCGTCCGCCCTGCACTTTAAAATTTGAGGACAGCTGAGGAAAATGCAGTAAACTGGAAGGGAAAGGTGGGAGACAACCTCTTACATTTGGGGAACGTGTGGGTCACCGGCAGGGCCACGCCTGCCCAAGCGGGGGGCGGGGGGGGGGCAGGGAAGGGAGGCCTGTAAGGGTCAGCGTTTCTTTAAGGTTATTCTGTGGGCTCCTCTTTAAATACCAAGTGAACACAGAAAGAAAACAGGCCTTGGAGGCAGCAATGAGCAGATTGTTTACTCCGTCGGATTATACACCATCAGCCACCCCGTGGTGACCAGTGTCCCACTCATGTCCCTTGTTACAGGGGACGGTTAATACAAACAAAAATAGTTCTCTACAGAACAGAGTTTCCGGCCCTCCCAACCCTCCTTCCTAACCCCCTCCCCCCCACAGTGAGTTCCTTGGTCACCAGAACTCGAGGGGCCCCGGGTCTGGGGGTGGCAAAGGAAAACTGAGAAAGAATATAAAAGAATCAAGTCAGCAACTAGAGTTGTAGGCAACTGGAGTTCGGGGTCCGCTGGCCGATAAGCCAGGGGGTGTCTGCAACAGTCGTGTGTGTGTCTGGACCTGGGGGTGTTGGGTGACCAGCGTTTCTCCCCATCTCACCGCCAGCAAAAAAAGAGGAAAACGGAAAGGGGCAGCGGGTAATAGAAAAACTAAGACCAAACTCGCAGGCCGCGGAGGCCAGGGCCCCACAGTGTCCCCTGTTGCAAGGCCTGGGCGCGGGCAAGTGCCATGAAGGGGGCGCAGGGCGGGAGGAGGCCGTTGGACCCTGCTGAGTAGCACCTGGGGGCAGCTCGGGCTGCACCCTTCTCGCCGCCCGGCCTCGGACGCCGGTCCCCGAGACCCCGGACCTATGGGCGCAGGGCACAGGGCGCAGGGCGCGCGGACCCGCCCTCACCAGAGGGGCTCAGCAGCCAAGGCGGGCGGCCAGCCCCAGCAGCAGCAGGCAGCCGAGCAGGGTGGCGGGGCGCGGCTCAGCCCCAGCAGCGCGGTCGCAGTCCAGGCCACCGTCGCCGTCGGCCGGGTCGCAGCGGGGCTGCTCGCAGCGCACGCCCGTGTAGCCGCGTGGGCAGGCGCAGCGCTGGTTCTGCACGCAGCTGCCCCCGTTCTGGCACAGCAGCTGGTCGTCGTCGCACACGTTGGCTGCGGGGCGGAGCGGCAGTTAGCTCGGGTGGCGGCCTGGTCCACCCCTCACGTTGGAGCCTCTGCGACTGGGATGCGCGAAGCCCTGGGGGCGTGGCCTAGACCAGGGGGGTGTTGGAGGCTCAGGCGCACTTGGTGCAAAACGTCCCCGCGTGGATGGTAACAACGGCTAGGCGAGACCTGGCCCCTGCCTCCCTCGCGCCACTGTTCCTGGCTCTCCCCGCTCCCTGGGTGCGGTTCTTCGGATGCACCTGCTGTCGCCTCCATGCTGTTCCATGTGCCTGGAGCTCTCTTCCACCCTCTTCCCGCGCCTAAAGCCGGTCTCCGCCAGGCCATGGGATGGGACGGCCCACCTCCGCCAACTCCAACTAAACCCCAGCTGCGCTTTGCCTCCAGCTCCCTTCCCGACCAACCCCAGCTCGGCCTCTCGCGGCTCCCACCTGGTACAGACCCCTCTCCCCAGTCGCATCAGGCCCGCCACCCCCCACCCGGCCAGGTCCGCGGCCCCTGACCCCACCTCCGGCCACCCCCCCAACCCCTCTCTGCCAACCCTCCGGGTCCCC